GTATATAAAGAAATATTTAATAATATTTAGATATTATTTCTTATTTTGTTTCAATGTTTATGTTATTATTTTTATATTTGTTTTTTTTTTACTTTATTCTCTTCTATCATATAACTTTCCGTGCAAATGCACGGGCCAAAAACTAGTATATATATATAATTGCTAGCAAAACAATTAATAAAACCTCATTTATTTTCCCTTCAAAAGAAGTTACAAATACATATTTACTTTGTTTTTATTTTTTATTTTAAATAGAACTTTAAGCAGTTCACTAATCAATAAAAATTACATATATACATATATAACCAAACATATTTTAATAAAAAAATAAAATTGTAAACCAGTAACTGAAATTGAATTGATGACATTTTTTAACACAACGGTTAAATGAAATGTAATTATCTTTTCAATTATTCTATTATATAATAGTTATTACTAAAAGTAATCAATTCTAATTCATACCAAATGATATATGGAAGGTTTTTTCTTAAACTTTTTATTACTCTTAAGTATTTTTTTAATAAGCTAATTTAGCTTTATTGGTAAAACCAAATTTCTTAAATTTTCATAAATAATAATAATAATAATAATAATAATAATAACAATAATAATAATAATAACAATAATAATAATAATAATAATTTAATACTTTTTAATATAATTTATAGGTCATGATCTCTCAAATATATAAGAACGACCTTATCTATTTCATTTTATGCCATCAAGATAATAATGAAGTTGAATACTTTTATAATCATTTTTATTATTGATAATTTTTTTTTAAAATGTGATACTATATATTATATAACTTATAATTTTAGTATTATTTACATCCATGTACCTTATAATAATTTAAACATCTGTTCATGTGCAGATGATCGAATACTAGCTAGTTTTATAAACAATAAGAATTACTGCAATTAAATGCAATTCTGCCTAAAGACAACAATGTTATTATTGCACTATGGAGGGAGACAATGGGCCATTCATTAGTAGTGGGGAGGAATCTTGAAAGTGGACCTTCATCTAAGATCAAAAGGAACTACCCTAGCAAAACCCTAAACACTCTTCTAGCCCCAAAAGTGCACTAGTTTATAGCCCAAATGAATAAGGTACACAAAAAGTTATTTTTTTTTTTATTTTATTTTTTTACAAATTTTCAAATTTTAGGTTGCCATTGGGTACATTTTTTTTTTCAGTCAATATTTATATATCATTAAACTAAAATAAAATGATTTAAAAAATACTATTTAATTATCACCATTTTTCTCTATGAACTCAATTAAATAATAAAAAATAGTAATTATTATATATTTTCTAATAAAAAAAGTTCATTACTCGCTTATTTCAACTGTTTTATATTATTTTTATATCATATCAACTTTATTATATTATTTTCATCTCATACCTATTCAAATTTCACTTTTATATATCTCACACTTTTCTAACAATCTTATTTCGAATCAAGTTCTTATGGATTTATTTTTATGTTAACATTTATTATAATTGTAATTATTCTTATCATTATATCTTTCCTAAACATGTTTTTTTTTTTTTTTTTCTTTTCAATAATGTTGTTTGGTTGACCTCTACCACCTCAATCCCCCTCCCTTTTTAAATCATGCTTATACACATAATAATATATGCCTATAAATTTGCCAATATAACTTGACTACCATCTCCTTTTTTTTTTTCCTTCATAATAACTACTCCCTCCTATTTTTTTAAGTGTCATTTTGGTTTTATCAACAATTAGCTAAATAAATACTACATCATTTTGAATCTTTTGTACATATTTTTTCATTATTACTCTCATCTAACTAATAAATACATCACGTTTTTTGACCGCGCGTCGCAACGCGGCAAATTTATATTTATAAAATTTTCCTCGACTTAC